GTTTTCAGGCTCATTCCTCACTTGCACATTTTGGAGTACGTGCGTTGGAGTCTTGCGTGGGGAGCTGCGTTGTGCCATCTTGCTCCCCCTCCTTCTTCCATCTCCATCTCTGTCACTAGCGGAGCACCACAACTGGTGGGTCCGCTACACACAGGGAATTAAAATAGACAATGAGAAATCAACCTCACAACGCTTAGATTTTCGAAATTTCTTTAGTAGTCGCGCGTGGGCTAAATCCTAATCCAATAAAACGACCTCCCATCCCTCTTTCCTCAACCCAATTACTTACCTCACTACCCTCAAACCCTAACCCTGCGTCTTTGGGGAAAAAAAAACTCCCTTCCTCCTACTGCTAGCATCTAAGTTCCAAGCACTGCTAACACCAAAGACCTAATCCGACCATCTTCAGTCACTCAAGGGAAACGAAGACAGTGCAGCACCCCCTCGTCAAACCTGTTGACGAGTCGCCAGAGGGGGGTCAAGACTACCCTGACCATATCCTTTCCAAACTGTTGAGGAAGAGGGAGGGATTTGCGAAAATACGAAGACCGTGTTGCCCATCTCCCCCTCCCACCTCACCCCTAATTTACCTCCCATCACTGCCCTCTCGCCTCGCGTGCTCGCGTCTTCGCCCACCACGTCGGCAAATTTCTGGCTGCGGCGCATTAAAAGTTGGAAGACCCTTCGAAGGTGATGGCGCCTCCCACCACTCCCACCACCACACCCCCTCCAAACAAGAGGCGCCTCTAACAGTGCTTCATCACCAAGGTCGCCACCTCACTTCCACCCTCCGCCTCCATCACCATCATGTCGTGGCGCCCTCACAACCTCGTCGCATGTCGTTCCCGCCATCGCCTTGCCTGCCGCTTCGCCCGCATCGTGCGACACCGTGTTCTAGCGAAGGGGCGCAGCGCTCCGGGTAGCGTCGCGCCCCAACCGCGAGGTTGGAGACTTAGCTCTTTCTCTCTCTCTCTCCGTGCGCGACTTTCGAAATGGCAGCACGGGAGTGAATCCTCCCACTGTAGCGTAGTGGGAGGATTCACTCCCGTGCATTTCGAAAGTCACGCGCGCACACACACACACACACACACACACACACACACCTGTCTCTTATACACATCTAGATGTGTATAAGAGACAGCGCTCAACCGTTGTGGGGACCCAGGAAGTACGGTTGGGATATCA